TCTTCATCTTTACTTCTTTTCATCATTTCTCTTGATGGTCTGTATTTTTTTTTGTTTTTCCAAATGAATTTTGTTATAATTTTATCAAGCTCTGTAAAATATCTCCTTGGTAATTTGATTTGTAAAACATAAAAAGGGCAAATTAATTTTGGTAGTATTGTCATTTCTATTTTATTGGCGTAGTCTAGCCGTGAGTACTTAATGTTCCTCCAGCTATTTAGGTTGTTCTTTATTTCTTTAAGGGGACCTTTGAATCTATACAAGTCTTTCGTATGTTTGGGGATGTTGGTGCCTGGATATTTTAGTTATTTGGGATTTCCCTTTCTATTATTGCTTCTTGTGTTTTATCATATAGAAATGATGTTGCTTTTTGGGGGGAACGGGGGAGGGAGAGGGAGGCAATCAGGGTTAGGTGAATTGCCCAGTGTCACACAGCTAGTTAAGTGTCTGAGGTCAAATTTGAACTCAGATCCTTCTGACTGCAGGGCTGGTGCTCTATCCATGTGCCACCTCGCTGCCCCAAAATGCTGTTGATTTTTGAGGTTTTAGTTTATAGCAGGCCTGTTCCGTGAAGTTTGGATTCAATCAAAGGGCTGCACTTGAGGACCTAGAGGGCCACATGTGGCCTCACTTGAGGCCGCAGGCTCCCCACCCTTGTCCTAGACCATGGAAACAATTGAAGTTGCTTTATCTTTGAAGAACAATTTCTGTTTTGGAGAGGTTGTAGGGATTGTAGAAAACTATCTAATCTGCCATCTTGTTGCTCATGTAGGAGCTCCCAATCTAATGGGGGAGATAACATGCAAACTATGTACAAACAAGTTGTATATAGTATAAATAGGAAATAATCATGGAGGGAAGGCACTAGAATTGAGAGGGACCAGGAAAAGCTTCCTGTAGATGGTAGGATTGTAGCTGGGGCGGGAAGGAAGCCAGAGAAGTCAGAAGATCTAGATGAGGAAAGAGAACACTCTAGGCATAAGAGACAGTCAGGGAAATGCCTAGAGTTAGGACATGGAGTGCTTTGTTCAAGGAACAGCTAAAAAGGCCAATGTCACTGGACTGAAGAGTACATGGGAAGGTGTAAGGTACAAGAGGGCTGGAAATGTGTAAGGGATGGGTAGGTTATGAAGGGCTTTCCAACACCAAACAAAGAATTTTATATTATTTGATCCTGGAGGTGATAGGGAGTCACTGGAATTTACTGAGCATGGGGTTATTTGCCTGCATTGTATCTTACTCACCACAGTGCTAAAGTATGGCTCAGAGAAAAGTTCAGAAAAGAGAAAGAAGTCATTATAAAGGGGAAAAAAGAAAGTCAGGAAGTTAGGTGGCACAATGGATAGTCTATTGGACTTAGAGTCTGGAAGACCTGAATTCTTACCCTGCCTCAGACATAACTGCATAACACTGGGAAAGGCATTTAAGCTCTTAGTCTGCTTCCGTATCTGTGAAATGAAGGCTTCTAAGGTCCCTTTCAGCTCTAAATCTATGATGCTATGGCGTGGCATTTAGCCCAAAAAGAGCATTAACATAGGTGAAAGTGTGGCTAGAGGGCTGCCCTATTAAAGTCACCTGATCTTTCCGTGGACAGCTTGTGGACCAGGTCACAGAGAGGTAACTCTCTAGGTATCAAAAGAACCTGTTGCTTTTCATTCTGCCAATGAAAACCGGTACAAAAGCCATAGGAGAGACTCCTGCACATAAGGTGTCACACAGAATGAGTTAATTTTTTTTTTCCTTAAAGGCTCCTTCCTATAAGCCTACACACATCTAGAAGGTCACCAGGGGAGACCTATCTCCCTTGTTGTAATACAATGTTCTCTTGAATCTTCTATCTTATCTAGCTACTGTCCCGTTATTCTCTTCAGTTTCAGTGACAAACTATTTGAAAAAGCTATTTATATTCAATGCCTCCATTTCCTACTTACCTTCTCTTCAATTTGCTAAAATTTTCTTTCTTCCTTCCCTGCTCACCTAAGACTGCTCTCTCAAACTTGCTCAAGGTCACACGGATATTAAGTGGTAGAATCGAAACGAGGACCTCTTAATGCTCCTAGACCTCTTTGTACTACTGGCGCCTAATTGTCTGCCCCACATTGGATACATCTACCCACCCACATACCTTACTGGAAATAGTAAATGTTCCTGTACAGGCTAAAACTAGCTAACATTCTATGGTTCCAGGAAAGCACTAGTGAAATATTAGGAATGAAATGATTCTCCCAAGGTCACAAAGCTAGTAAATGTCACAACCTACATGAAAATCCAGGTCTCAGGTTTCCTTTTTCATATAATAAAATTCTTTAATCTATACCCAAATGTCTTGGAGAATAGTAATCAAGCTTCATTTAGCCTGATGTCAGAAGCAGGCTCAGTAAGTTCTTCCATCCTCTGGTACTGGACCATTAATTCTATGGGGCCATATTTGAGACAGGCCCTGGAACCTTAATTGCTCATTTGAAGCTCCTGTTAAACTTTGACTATCGCTCGATCTCTTCCTTAGTAACTGGATGGCTCTTCCTCCTCCAGCTCCTGGAGGGAGGAAAGGGGATGATAAATAGTAAGAAATATGATATTCTTACTCCTATCTAAAACATCATAAATGTGTCTTAGTGGGAAATAGTAAGTGGAAGACAGAAGGCTGAGAGATTAATTCAAGTCCCTGGGCTAAAGGCTACCTAGTTCAACTTTCTAAACAAGACTCCTTTATAATATCCCCAACAAGTGGTCATCTAGTATTTGCTGGAGGATTTCCAGTGTGAGGAAACTCACTACTTCCCAAGGTAGTCTAGATCACTTTTCTAAAGACTTGTTAGAAAGTTTGTACGTTTATGTCCTAAATATACCTCTGTGTAATTTTACTCTTGCTCCTAGTTCTTTCCTCTGGCCACTGGCAGAACTTTTCTAATCCCCTTCTGTAAGACTGCCATTCACATACTTGAAGACAACTATTAGGGCTTCTTCCACCCTCTAAATCTTTTCTTTTGCAGTCTTAGCATCTGGAGTTCTTTCAACCTACTCTTGCATAGCATGGTCTTGAGTCTCTTTGCTATCTTGATTACTGTCCATCTTGCCAACATCTTTCCTAAAATATGGCCTCCAGTACTCTATACTCTTGATGTGGCCCAACCAGGATAAAGAATTGCCACCGTTAGTACTCTAGACTCTATCCTGCTCTATTTAATGCAGCCTGACATAATTTAGTTTTTCTTGGCTCCTATACCATCACATTGCTTACTCAAACTGATCTTGCAGTTCACTAAAGCCCCAGGTATCTTTTTCAGATTTACTGCTAGACATATCTTCCCATATTGTACTTGTGACACTGATTTTCTAAATCTAAGTGTAGGATTTTTAGGTTTATCTTTATAAATTTAATAGTTTTAAATTTGGCCCATTGTTTTAATCAGTCGATTGGATCCTGATCATTATTCAACATGTTGCTTATCCTGCTCAGCTTTGTGTTATCTGCAAATTGCATGTTTATTATGATGTATCTTCAACGAAGTCACTTACGAAAGTGTTAGAGAGCATGAAACTAGACAGATCCTCAGGTAGCTCTAAGTATGCAGTTAAATTCTAAGCCCCTAAAAGCTGCTTACATAGCTTAGGGCAGTCCAAATCAAATAGCATTCTTCTCAAGTAGAAATTTGCAGAGATTCTATCATGTACACTTCTCCTATAGAGTATCAGGGCTGGTATGCCAGAAGCACGGCAACACGTCCTACCAAAATTTGGTGTGAGATGTTTGAGGCTAATACCTACTTTCTTCTTGATTTGAGAGAACAGGGCAGGAGTCTATTTTTCTCTACTTTTCCTATAGGTTGATAATGGTAATGCACCATTTTAGAATATATCAGCTTTTACGAAATTTCTAAAATGCAGGCACATATAAAACCCACAAAGCAGATGTACTCCTGAGCAGCCTGGTGTCACTCTAGGTGGGTCTTTAGACTCCATCTGAGCTTAAAAGAAAGGAAATGGAGAAGTAACGTTTAAGTGTCTTTCAGAGTTTGTTTCCTACCTCTTTTGTGTGGATTCTGATCTTGCAAGAAAATGAAAGTTCCCAAATCACCCTTGGCATTAAAGGGTTTACTATTCTCTCAAGTCCAGCACAGTGCTTTGCATATTAACTAGGTGCTTTATTTTTTCCACTTTATTTCATTTTCAATTAACATTTATTTTTTCTCCCTCTTCTCAATTTAAAATTAAAACAAAATCCATATAACAAATACACAGTCAAACAAACAAATTGTTAAACAGTTCTATTGGACTGCGGATAAAGGACGTGTAGAGAATGGGTTGAATGAAGATTAAAGGATAGTAATTATAAAAAGTTTTAAACTTCAATGCTAACTATAACAATATCTTACAGTTAGAAGAGACATCAGAGATCATGTAGTTCAACCCTTTCATTCCTCAGAAGAGGAAACCAGAGGCGTGTTTGATAGTGTGGGGAGTGAAAAGCAATGGACTAAGTATTAAGAGAACATAACCTATTTATATACAAACTAGGCCTATGTACTGTATAGGCACATAGTTCTATTTCTATTTGAAAACTTGTTTGTCTTCCACCTTTATTATATTGTCGGATTTATTTGTGGCATTACAATTAGAGAAATATATAGTATAGTGGGTAGAAGGCTTGTCTCGGAGTGATAAAGATCTGGGTTCACTTCCTGCCTCTGACAAATACAAGCTGTGTGACTCTGGACACTGAATCTTTCACTGTCCTCTGGAACTTCTCTAAGGTTACACAATAACCGACAGGTTGCTGATTTGCATTGGTAGAGGGAATTCCCTACTCTGATAAACCATGGGTTTAGAGCAATAAAATTTACAACTGTCACAAATTTTAGAAAATGAATTAAAAAAAAACAAAAACTGTGCTGTTTTGTGCTGTAGAAACTAGACACAAAAATACTTGAGGGAAAAAAAAAACTATGACATTTTAAACTGTAAATCCCTACCTATCATCAAATGAAAAGGACACTGTATTTGTCAAAGTATGTTTGTGTTTATTTATCACAGAGAATTTTAAGGAAAGACATTTTATTCCAAGACCTGGTATTTAAGACTAACGTATGACTAAAGAGCTTTCAAGTAGAGTGCCAAACCCATAGCCCACAACACTCTTGAGCATAACCAGAACCAGATTAAAATATAGTTCCCATTTGATTTTAATGTGTTGATGTATTAATAAAAAAAGAAATACATAAACATGTGGCTTTCGAAGTCAATCTGTGGCCTGCAGGGCTCCTTAGGTACAGTTTGGTGGCTCCCATTTCCACTTGAGTTTGACACCACAGGTTTAGAGAACAGAGCTAGTAACTAGCCATTCAAGCATCCAGAGCAAATTCAATTAAAGGGAGAGCCTAAGAGTACCCTCTCTTTCAAAGCGTACTGCCAACACCCCTAAGGCATGGTTGACAAAACCACATTCCACAAGCTCTAAATAAAGATGGATAGGAATGAGGAAAAAGTGGTGGACTGTAGGCATAGTGGGAGAAGACCAGCTTTGGGGCAGGGGTATGAAAATAATGAGACCCTTAGGGTTGGAGGTCTAGGGCTCATGCAAGGAATCTGGTTGTGTGGCTGCTGTGGAGCTTTTATCCTGAGAGGGAAGTCTGGAGGATTGAAGGGAACAAAGTATAGGTCCTAGATGTTTGTAAGTCATCTTACTTCTAAGTCATTCTTATTTACCTGACAAGAGCTGTCAATGCAAGTAACCCTAACCTAGTTGCAGCTTGGCTAGGGAGAGATACATGAATTTCTTTCCTGGGATGGTTATTTTTGACAAGCATGAAAAGAACTGTTGTCTAATAATTATGGCTTCTATCTATATAAGACCAACAGAAGGAACTCTGCTTGGCCTATCAAGTCAACAAGTCATGCAAATAGAGCTGAGGGAAATAAAATAAACAAAGGGAAATCCTTCTTTAAACAGTTTCACTTATTCTCACACATGGCCATTCTGAAACTTAGCCACATTTTGATATTGTGTTAGGGTTAATAACAAATTCATATTTCTTGAGTATATCCTTTTAAAGGGTAGCAAGTCATTCCAACACTTTGGGAGGGGTGCAATATTTCTTAGTTACTAATTCAATAAGGAAGTATTCTTCTTCAGAAGCAACAAATGTCACAGTTTTGGATTAATTTGGCCCTTGCCTCCGAGAAAAGAATCCTGACAGTGTCTGCTGAGTTCTCCGACATACATAGTATTTTCTTGAAGGATCCTGTCGGACTCTATCAGCCCATTCTGTTCAGCCCAGTGAGGCAACTGAAAAGAAATTCTGAAGTATTTCAGGTAGCCGTCATTATCACCATCTTAGGCCTCTTTTCAATTCTTACACTAAAATTTATTGCTGTATCTTGGAAACTGAATGAGTTGGGAATTTTGATATGAGGAAACTGGTTAAATTTAGCACCAATAAAATTGAAGGAATGTGGGTATGAGTATCTGATGATTATTATCTTAACCTTACCATTTGAAAGGATATACCTTCTCTTTTGACATCGAAATTTGTAATATTTGGTAGCAGTGATGGCTGAGGGGAAGTTTTGATTCTCAACTGCTGTTGGATTAAAAACTATGATGATGAATTTTTTTTCTATCAGTCTAAGGGAGAGAATGTAATTTTTCTTTATCTCACAAACATACTGATTTCCATTTATATTATTGGGAGAGCACACAGTAGATAGGGGTTGTAGATAGTTGGAGCTGGGGTTCCCAAATTTCACCTAAAAGAAAGAGGTTTTCTTTGGTAGAACCATGTTATAATAATACTTCCTGCATACTTAGTTCTGAAAAAAAAAAAAAAAACAAAACATCTTTTGATCTGCAAGGCATGGCACATGACTTTAAAATTTATTCTGTTAAAGGGGCTACTTTGTAGGACCCATATTAAGTACTGATTGTAGAGCTATATATATTTTATTGAATGCTTGCCACTTTTTTCTTTCAACCTGAGACAATAATTGCAAATTGCACAATTTTAGACAGGGAAATATTACATAGTATTACCATTAACTGTTGTATATTTAACCAAACTTTATAACTGTTATCAGTACATAATTTAATTTGAAAAAGTCATCAGGTTAGCAAATGATAATATAGGAACTTCTAGATCTTTGATAAGAGTTTGGACCTTCAAGTACAGCTTCTGACTTTACATATATTAGGTAATACTGAAAGGATATTCAAGTAGAATATAAAGACACAAGATGATGACCCTATGGGCTGTCTATAACAGGATCAGCTAAGTTGGGCAACCAAAATATTTCTCCTAAATTGTTTTCAATTGTAATTTTTATAATGAAACCGGCTGTGTTTTTCCCAGCTACATTTGTTGGAAATTTAAGTCGATTTAGATTTTCATTATTTTCACAGCACAGGAAATATATCTGGCTACAGTTGGATAGTTCGTTGTCAGATTTAGAGTACATGATTATATAGATGTCATTTTAGAAATTAATCAGTTGGTGCTTGTGTGAAACATCTCTCACCCCTTTCTCTTATTCAAGAGACTCACTAGTGAAGGACCCATCAACCAGGTGAAGGAATAACTCCCCCTCAAGTTTCTTTACCCAGTCTGTCTTCACGTAGTTTTGTATACACAGAATAACTTTCACTGAAGGCTATAGGTCTGAGTTAAGTTATTCAATTTAAGAGTAACGATGAGAGAACGTGGGTCCTTCCTGTTCTTTTGAATGGTTATCTTTCCTTTTAAGGCCTCACCTAAAAAAAAAAGAAAATTTAAAGAAAATAATTAATGTACTACTTATAATATACTTTAAATGTGATACGCATAACACATTAATGGCATTAAATCACTCAAAAAAAGTAATTATTCACTTCAGATGTTAAACACTATCACTCGGATGGTAAAGCAATGTATAGTGGTCATACAGGGTCAGGGTATCCAGCTCTAGCTTCATGGGAGAAATTGGGCACTAGTCCTTAATGGTAGCAATTCAAAAAAAAGTAAGTGCTATATATGTTCATAACAGAGAAATGTACAGGGTGTTTATAACTTCCAGTATGCAGTAAAATTTCAATAATGGCACTAGCAATAGGTGAGGTAAAGAAAAGCTATTATCTTTGAAAATATCATTCTCCATTTCCATGTGAGCAGAATCCGAAAGAAAGCTTTATTAACTGTAAAGTAAGGAAAATACACCTCTTAACACAAACACATTGCTTTAAATAAACTAGCCATAGGATGTCGATATAATTCATAGCTAGAAAGATGAACTGGATTTGTTTTAATAAGATTATAGATTTTAAAATACACACATGATACTATACCAGAGGTGGAAAGCAATCTAATAAAATTCAAGATATTCTGAACAAATAAGTAATTATACTGCGTGTTCATTTCAAAATTTTTTTCAATGATATGGCAAGAAGTATTTTTTAATAAGGAAGCAAAAATAACAGATCAATATTTCTTGGTTAAAAGCAAGAGCACAAGACCAAACCAAAGGGCATCTTAGACTTTCTCAGATATATCCTCAGGCTTTACAATCTGTGCTAACACAACAGGACCCTTAACAAATGCTTCAAAAACAACTGTGAAAAAAATGTGCTATAATATTAGAGTTATAATGTTAAAAAACAAATTTCCTCAAATTTGTAAACCTAACTAATTGCTGAATTTTTCAATGTGGTAGTTTCAAAAGGCAATACTTAATCTCCAGTTAGATAATATGTAAAGTCATTAAAAAAAAAAGTCACAGGTGGAAAAAGTATTTATTGTTTACTACATATCAGGCATTGTCCCAATAATTGTAGATACAAATACAAAAAGAGTCCCTTTGCCCTCAAAGAGCTTACATTCTAATGGGAGCATGTAGAGACCTTGAAGAGAAATGGCTAAGAAGTGCGGTAACATACAGTCTATCTTTCACAAAACTCATAATTTCTAAATTCATGTACTTTTAATATAACATCTGCGGGTAGGCAAAGTCTGTATTAATGGAAGAATCTGGAAGAAATCTACCATTATACTTGCAACTAAAACAAAAGTAGTTATACTGGTTCATTGATTATAGCTCAGATTCCTAATTATAATTCTGATATATTCCTCAATATATTTTTAAAAAATAAAGCAATGACATCCCACCCCAACCACCCTTTGTCAGGTTACAGGGACACAGTGCTCATAGCAACAGTACAAGGTTTAGATTTCTGATGAAGTTCAAGTTAATAATTATTTTAATTATTTCTGAAAATGTACATTATTTTAGCTTTTGGTTTTTTATGCTGGCTACCCCACTGCTTAAACTTAGAATCAGGGGCAGCTAAGTGGCATAGTGGATACAGCACCGGTCTTGGAGTCAGGAGTTCAAATCTGGCTTGAGATATTTACTAGCTGTGTAACCCTGGGCAAATCACTTAACCCCGACTACCTCCCACTCACCCCCCCCCCCAAAAAAAATCAAACGATCATATGGTTTAGAGATGGAAAGGAATTTAGAGATCAACTACTCCAACCTTATGAAAAAAACAGAGGTTCTTAACCTGGGGGTCTGACAGATCTCTAAGTGTTCTGTGGATATATTTCCAGAGTTTATAAATATGGATGGGAAAAAAAATTACATTTTTATTTCAATGAGTAGTTTCCTTTGTAATCCTATTAATTTTATATATTTAAAAACATTCTGCTGGGCATGGTGGCCTATGCCTATAATCTGCAGTTACTGCAGAGGGAGAGAATTTGAGGCTTGGGAGTTGTGAGTTGCAAAATCTAAGCTGATCTGTGCCTTTACTAAGCTGAGGCAGAAGTTGGACCAGGTCAAAGTTCCTGTGCTGATTAACAGTGGAATCAGAACTGTGAATTACCCTGAACTTCTAGCCTGGGTGAGAGAAGGAGACACAGTCTTTAAAAAGACAAATACATTATTCCGAGAAGAGGTCCTTAGGCTCATCCAGTCTATCAAAGGGAGCCATGACACAAAAAAAGGGGAGGAGATCTTATTTTAACAAGTTAAATGTAAATGATAAACAGAGGGCAGTGTGATATAGTAGACAGAGCAGTGGAACAGCAATCATGAGACTTCGATTTGAGGCTCAGCTATTCCATCGAATTGCTGCATGACAAATTCATATAACTTTTCTGAGCCCCAGGTTCCATGGCTGTAAAATGAAAGGTCGAATGAACCAGATGATCTCTGAGGTACTTCAAGTTCCAATTAATTACTAATGCACATTTAAGTGATTTGACCAGGGTCATGTGGAGACCAAGATTCAAATTAGACACTTCCTGTTTACCAAACAGGAAGTTTAATCAAACAAGAAATGTTATGTAACATTTAGACAGTTTATGATGAGAAGTAATCTTGTTTGCGTCTGTACAAATACAGATAGAATGAACAATTACTAAGGACTTGGAATCAGGAAGTTGTCCTTCAGTTGTTTTTCAGTCATGTTTGACTCTTTGTGATCCCCTTTGGGGTTTTCTTGACAAAGATAGTAGAGTGGTCTGCATTTCCTTCTCCAGTTCATTTTACAGATGAGGAAACTAAGGCAAACAGGGCTCTCTATCTACTGTGCCAGCTAGTTATCCAGGGGTCAGAAAGACCTGAGTTCCAATCTGGCCTCAGGTACTTACTAGTTGCATGAACCTAGTCAATTTAACTTGTCTCCCTCAGTTTCCTTATCTGTAAATGGGGGATAATAATATCACCTATTTCACAGGGTTGATGTGGGGATCAAATGATATAGTATTTGTAATGGACTTAGCAGAGCGCCTGGCACATAGATGTTTAAATCTATCTAGTTTTAAGTTACTGATATGAAATCAACATTGAAATTAGCAACTGTGAATTGTTATTACTTAAGTGGTTTATTAGATTTTCTCTCTCATCCTAGGTAACATGTCTCACTATGACAAAGTAAATGCTATTCGAAATTTTTAAAATACAGGTTTTCATAAACGTTTTATTCCAACACAGACTGACTGTTGAAACTGGAATAATACTTTGCCTTTCACATGAGATTCTGTCCAACTCTCTATTTAAGGCTAAAACGGTATCAGAGTTCTTTGTACTTCTAGTCATTCAGGAAGAGAATTCTTTACCCATAGTTCTGTGGCAACACCAGGTTGTTATGATGGCTGTTTATTTTGTCTACCTACAACCAAATCAATTATAATGTGCTCCACAGATGGTCTGAATTAACCTGAACCAGATTCATTGATTTTGTAATATATCCAGAGATCAAGTTTAAGTTGGAATCTACTTTACCTTAGTGGGTCTTTTTTGGATTTGGTTTTGCTTTTTAGGTAGCACCATGATATGTCACCTTTAAGTTCTGTGACTATGGACAAATCTGATCTCTGTCTCAGCTTCCTCCTCTTTAAAATAAAGCAGGGGTTGGACTAAATGATCTCCTAGGTCATGTCTAGCTCTCATCACATGATCTAAAACATGGTATTAATTGGTTTTAAAAGTGAAATGACACAATAAGAAAAGCTCTATCTTAAAAGTACACCAAAGGATGATTTAAGCAGTGAAGGCATTTATGCATTCATTTCAAACAAACGAGTATCAGGAAGTCACATAATAAATATGTAATCTGTGGTTGGCAAACACACTCTCCAATCCTCACAGACTGTCTAAGGTGCAAAGGCAATGGCTGTAACACCAAAGCAGATCAGAGTAATTAATCAGTGTCATGTAGATATGAAATGACTGATGTCTTTAAGCAGTTCTGCTGTTTTGTGGGCTGCAGAGGACGCTCTCTCCAGAGCTGTGCTGCATCACCTTGCCTTTATCACAGGCAGACTGCCTCAAGCACAACAGAATCCAGTTTTGCAGTTCAATTAAAAAAAATTGAATCCATATATTTATTATAGCATTTTAATCTATCCCTTTAAAAGCAAAGAATTCTATCCCTAGAGAAGATATAAACAGTATTCACAATAAAGATTAAAAACATGCTTCCTCTAGCATGGGGAAAGAGAAATCATTAATTTGTTTTCAGCCAGATTATAACAATAGCATTATGTAACATATATTAGTGTGTCAGTAATTTTATGTAAACATTGTCATACAAAGTTTGACTACAAATAATGGGACTATTTGAAAAACATATTACCTCTTTTACTTCTAAATACGCATGATCCCCTTCAAAGTTGTCAGTTTGGGAGGGGGATACATTCATTAAAATGAAGATCTCCGTGGCTTAAAATACTTTTGCAATTCTTCCTCAAGAACTGTCTCTAGAATTAGTTTATGAGTTACCGAAGAAAACTACTATGATCACTTTATAGACATACATGATTTTGGACCTAAAAGGATATTACTTGATCTGCCATTTTATTTTTATCAAATTCGGTTTTGAACTCATTTTGGCTATGTTCCAAAATCAAAATAGGACAAAAGCTTGCCAGCACTGTGGATAGTCAAAAGAATTCAATTAAACAGGAATGTGTTGAGAACCTGTTCCATATTGAACAGTGATAGATGCAAAGATTAGATTTGGGCAACACACAGTTTTTGGCCTTATGGATCTTAAGGACTGGTTGAGAAGTACAATATATTTACAAATGATTCTGAAGGTCATTCCTAAAGAAACTTTCTAAATATATTTTGAGAAGTAAATGGAAGCATTATTGAAATAAGTGTAGAGCCACCTAAAGGTTCTGTGATCTTTTGGTTATAGTAAAACCCTGGCCATCCTGACCAACCAGATAACACTAAAACTTCTATGGGTCTGATAATTGATATTCATAT